AACCGATGAAGCCAGATGCCGGACATGCCGAAGATGCCGCACGACATGGGAGGAGTTGGACTGGGTTCCAGGGTGCTGACGCTTCCTCTTTCTCTCTTGCCGCTCCTGAGCAAAGGTTTGTCGAGGATCAACCTAGAAGTCCGGTTGAACCAATGGAAGGATGGCCTCTACTTTCCTCCACAAGGGCGCAAAGGCCGCTACTAGTGTAATGCGCACAAGATGGTGCCAGGTCCTCCTCTTCACGGCGAAGTCGCTCCTCCTGTGCAAAAAACGGCCCAATTGCTCACCTCTGGCAACTTCTACCAAAGCCGACCCACTGCAAAAGACTCTGCCACTCTCTGCCACTAGAAGGGCCATGTGTTGTCCTCCTCAGCAGCTTCCTTCTTCCGCCGCTCCACGAGCCTGGCGCGCCACTCCTCCTCTTCCCTCAGCCACTGCTCCTGGCCGGGACGGGTGCACCTCCATACGAGGGAGGGCTTTGCGGCTTCGCGGCTTCGCGGCTTCGCTTCTCGACTTCCACTAGCAACTTGCATCCGGCTGCACAAAGTCTCTGAGTAAAAGATAAACAGCCATAAGGGCTAAACGACCAAGGCAAGAAGCCAGATGCAGAAGCTGAGCAACATGAGTACCCTGGCCCCAGAACGCCATGACGAGAGCGGCGATCCGAAAAACTTGCGCCCAAAGAGGTGGGGAGACGAAAGCTCTGCCCCGAAAGGGGCTGCAAGTAGGGGGGGGGCTTTCATGGTTCAAGAGGCGAGGCCATGTCAAGGCTCCAAAAGCAGTTGCGCGTGTGCAGAAGAAGCCGCCACGAACGTACCGGTTAAAGCCCAGCTCGATCAAAAAGAGCAAACTGTACACACTCTGAAGCGAAAGAAACCGTCATGAGCAAGGGCTACGTCAGTGAGCCGATAACCAAGACAGCTCAAAAGCAAAGTCTTGAAAAGGCCAGCAAAAAGACAAGCGTTAATCGAAGAAGTCAGAACAGCAAGCCTGTACAGCTTGTCACTTGACGAGAAGGGGATTCGAAGCGCTTGACATGGCCCTGCATGTGGCACCTCAGCATTCCCCACGGCATGTTGAACATCATTCCTGAGTCTGTTTGCTCACCTCCAAGCTCGGCACATGGTTGGCGCGAATTACTGAAATGTCGCGGACGATATCTGGCGCGGCGAATGGACTACAATAGGAGGTTTGAGTTGGACGTCTTAGGAACAGTCAAGCCCTACAGAGAAGTTCGGAGAATTTGGACCTCAAGCCAGTTAGGAGATTCAAGTTACGTCTGAAGACAAGTCCAGAGCTTCATGGCAGCACAACTAAGAGAAGTTTCGATCACTACTCTTGGAGGTGACAGAGCAAAGAGACGAGATGCCTCCGGTCAGCCTTCCCCAGTTGGGTCAGGACTATCTCAGAGAGCGGGAACTTTTCACAGGAGGCAAGCGGAGCCACTGAGGAAACAGGCACGATATTCTTCCAGGTCAATTAAAGGACTTTGACGGTCTCAAAGCCTGATCCAACTCTGATGCGCAAGGGAATTGCAGGCATTGCAGAGCATGTGCTCGGGAAGTACCCGGCGGTCTGAAAGGAGTTGCTGGCAGCATCCACGTCTTCGTCGGAGGGAGGTGGAGAGAAGCCTGTAGCGAAGGCCAGTAGTGTCACCACGTCCTCAACTACGTCGACAACAAGGCCCAACACAACAACGTCATACAACGTGGCTCAAGTTGTATGTTCAGATGTTGCAAGTGGGTGCATGACTGGGGAGCTACACCGAGGAAGGAAAGATGTATGGTGTCCTCCGGAAAGGGCCACATGGGCCACTATTCGAAGGAGGGCAAAGACTACGCCGGCTCAATTAGAATGATGAGCCAATGGCAGAAGGCGGTCGACACCGAGCCTCACCTACACTATCACCTACACTATCACCTCACCCGAAGGAAAAGATACCAAGCAGAGGGAGATGTTGAATCGATCAAGGCGTTATTGATGGCGGCGGGCCCAACTACAAGTCAACCTTCTACAAGTCAACCTTCGACAGCTCTACGGCAGATTCACAAGGGTTGAGGAGCTTTCAGAACCGAGACCCCTGGTTCTTAGATTCGGCTTGCAGGAGACCGAAAGGAGCTCACCCAGAACGATGGTGGGACGATCCTCGTGCAGAAACGGAAGTTCAAGCGATCATTCGGATGAGTTGGCCTGTCAAAAGGTGGAGGCGCTAGTGGTGGTGCGAGGGTTCGCCGCAGGAAAATATTGCAGGCTGAAACGGAAGTCGACGGAAAATGCAGGCCGTGCAGGCCGGGGGCAATCCCGGGATAAAGCTTCCATATGCTCTCGCCCTCTCACAAGAACGCTCTCCATTGCCGACTCTTTCTCATGGGAAGTTTATATCTCAGACTCACAAGAGCCGTTGCATCGACAGTCCCGGCAACTTAGGCTTTTGACTTGAGGAGCTTCTAAAGATTCTAGGCCAACAAATCGCAGCCTCAAGGTTGAGAGTAACAGATGAACAGCCACAATCTCGACAGCTTGGTCTGTGATGTCTGTGATCAAAGCACCCCGACATGTCCATGGAAGCTGCCACTGCACGCTTTAGCTCCGAAGCGCCCCATGTGCTATCACCCACGCAAGAGCAGAAGAGCAGGCCCCGTCCTCTGCATACGGCACCTGTCTCAGGGCGTCACTTCCCTACACTACCAGAACTGTGAAGCTTCCATGGAAAGCCTCTATAGCGCCGAACACTCGACCTAGTACTCGACCTAGTACTGCGCTGGATAGAACGTTTTAGCCTCGATTGGCAGCAAACCTGGACACCACGGCACCAGAGCATCCAAAATGCACGGGGTTGTAACTTGCCCCTGCGTACACGAAGATACCACCCCAATCTAGAACCAGGGCACGCAACAATGTAAGTTATAGGCTGCGAAGAGTTTTGAAGGGTTGAAAAGGGCGCCTGCTTTTATTTCGCTTGGTTCAAAGTTGCTGTGTTACAGGGTCTTACAAGAGGAAAGGGGTCTAATAGAGGTGCCGTTGAGAAGGGTCTGGGAAGGGCTTCAGAAGTTCCAACTTGCCGCTGTCTTTTGGTATCGAAGAACTCTTAGAAGGGTTGAAGAGGGCGCCTGCATAATCTGGTTCCGTTCCAAAGGGCTTTGAAGGGGTTTTTGGAGGGGTTTGAGGCTCTGGCATATGCGGGCTCGATATTGGAGCCAACTTGCCGTTTAGAAGGTTTTAGGAAGAAGTTTCTAAAGGCGTCGCTGGCATACTTTGACTTTGGCTCCGTGTCGGTCAAAACTTGCCGGTTTCCAGGTTCTTGCATATTGAGAAGGAGTTTCTCAGACACAAGGCTCTAACATGCACGGGGTGCTATAACTTGCCCCCGAGTCCAGTTTGGCTTTGCCTGTACCAAATTAAGCCCCTAAAGTATGCCCTGACACTAACATACCCCTAGACCACCGAAAACCCCCCCCCCCCTAAAACCGCTTAAATCCCTATGAGAACCCCTTTAGACGGCGCCTTAGAAGTGGGTTTAGGGGAGAAAAAAGGCGAGAGGTACAAGGGCGTTTCAAAGGGGGTTGAGGGGAGTAGGTTTAGAGGCTGGGACTCTGGCTCAGAGTCGTACCTTTTTTGGTTCGAGCTTGGCTGTTCTGCTTCCAACCGTATCAACTTTCGTTGGAGGCTCTCAAAAGATGTTTTGGAGCAAGAAACGGAAACTGGACGGCGGGCCAGTTGAGCTGGCACTAACCTGGGCCCATTTTGCTCCCTGGGTGGAGATCTGGAAGTCTGAACCTCTGGAAAATTCTGCTCGATGTGCTAGATGGGCTTGCACGGCCGCGCGTACTGCGAATCATCGCGTTCAGTGCATTGCCCAGTTGCGAACAACGCCGGACACAGGCAGGCGCTCAATTTCGTGCTCGCTGAATCACTCGGGCGATGCAGTTTCAGCTCATTCCTTTGATAATCGTCACTGGGCACTTTTCTGTCAGCGGCGACTGTGTCACGAAAGGAGGTCCAAGCATAATTTGGGCACACCATGCACGCATTGCCTTTGGGGACGAGAAACAACTCCCAAACACAGCGATTCTTCTTATCAGCAGCACATGTGCATTTAGGACTTGACCCTGCATCGGAAATGGTGCTGTGCCCCGAAACAGATGCAGGGAAGCACTACGATGCTCCATATCTCCTCTTGCCACTTTCACACTTTCACTAGCAAGACTTCCAGACTTCCTAATCTTCCAAAAAGCAGCGCTCCAGGAACCAGAACAAAGAACGGCGACAGCAACCACATCACCACATCATACCACATCAACGACCAACACTCGCGGAACGTCAACCAGTGCCTGGTCAGGCATGTCGACTTGCTGGTAGGTCTCGAGATCCTTCAGAGGCAACCCACGACCCTTCTGACCCTTCTCTCCGCATAACTTCTTGGAGTGCGTACCCCCCCGCCTTATGACCATCACCAAGCTTATTGCAACCGAGCCAAAGGTTGCGTAAGGGCGTCTTCTCCAGCATTCGGGCCAACGCCTCGCGGGAACTTCCGAACCCACAAAGGGCTCTGCGTCTCCCCGCTACGAAGGCGACGCTAAAGCCTCAACTTCCATGTGCGGTAGGGGACCATTAGGACATGAATTGCGCCAGGGACCACTGAATGCGAAAGCGACCTTCCGATGTTCCAAGGAGTGCAGTGGGGAGCTGAGAGGCACACAAGGAGGCACTGAGCCAGGACACACGAACTTCTGAAAATGAGCTGTCCGGGGTTCCCATCTAGCTCAAAATGTTGAAGGCACCCCGCAGCAAGAACCCGGAAAAAAAAAAAAAAAAACAACTCACAGGGCATGGAACGAGTTTCCATGAAGCCTTCCCAAAGACCTGCCCGGCTACGTCCGAAGCCAAAGAGGGCAACTCGAAGATGCACGTCTAACTCCAGAGCGATAGTCAGCAAGCATCCACAATCGCTATGTCCGTGCTATGTCCTTTGTCTGCTTATGTTGGGACAGCAGGCAACGTCACTTCGCCTCGACACCATGGTCGGTGATGTCGTTGAACTCTAGGCCGAGGTTCTCAAAGTCGGACTTGCTCTCAACGCACTTGGCAATGGCCTGTTGCAAGAAGCATGCTCATGATCTTCGTGTTCATGTGGTGTCGGCATCCTCCAGAACAAGATGCTGCTTTATCAGACTTTGAGGTCACCGCGTCACTTCCCTCATCTCCGATTCCATTGCCCGAGACGTCCAGGCGCTTGAGGCTGCTCTGCGTGAGCATACGGCAGATTGCCTGTGCCAAGCTCATTTCCAACTGCGCTCTGGGATACTCTAAGTGGATGTTGTAACTTGTACATAACTAGACTCCTAAAATTCCTTTCCACCCGCCACTGACACCTCCGTTAAATGCTGCGTCTGACTTTGTTCGATGACTGGACTCGGCGCCACCCCCAAAGGACAGCGCCGAGGCCCCCGCTCCAGGAGATGGTGCGGGCCCCATCCCAACTTTTTGACCTTTTGCTCGCTGTGAAAGGACATGTCAAACATAGCACCGTAGCGCATTCTCATCCCGACGGACCTGCTGTCGCTGCACTTCGGTTTGAGTTCTTTGGACGCCGGAAGCCTCTCCTGAGGACTGAGGAGGGCGAGGCCTTGGGGCACTGGATGAGAAACCCCTGCGGGACTCCTGCGAGCCAGGGACAGAGAGGGGGGAGGAGAGGGGGGAGGAGAGGGGAGGACAATCACAAGTGGCATGGCCTTCGCTGCCACGGGACCTCTGAACATGAGACCACCGTGAAAGGCCCTGTCATGTAAACTGACAAGGACGCCAGCAGATGCTCCCGTCATCTGGCCTTGGCCCCATCTGGCCCGATGGAGTTGTTGCTTACGTAGAAGTCTTTCAGCGAGCCGCACTTCTCGAGGACAGCGCACGGCGCCTGACAGTCGCGAGTCACACGGCCTTCGCTGCAACGGCACCTCTGAACATGAGACCCCCGTGAAACATTACCGTGAAAGGCCCTGCTAGATAAGCGGACAAGCACGCCAACAGATGCTCCCTTCATCTTGCCTTGGCCCCATCTGGCCCGATGGAATTGTTGCTGGCATTCACTCGGCTCACATCGTTCAGGCGCACTTCTCGAGTACGGCGCAGAGCACCTGACAGTCATGAATGACCAAGCCCTCACTGCCTCAGAGCCCCAACCACCTTCCCAAACAACCCTAAAGCCTCTGTGGTCCCGGCATTCGGTCTCCTGTGTCAGCTGCCTTCCTAAGATGTGGTAGTCGTTTGTCTGCTGTCTTGCTTTAGTTCCCTGTCCGACTTGAAAGCAGTGTCAAAAGACCGTTGCCGCCTGTTGTTGCTGCCTGCTCATGCTTCGAGGGAGCGAGCGCGGGACAAGCACTCTAGCAAAAACAAAGCAAACTCAAAATAAATAAACATGCCAAAATCACGCAAAAAAAAACATGCCAGTATCATGCGAAAATCAAGCAAAAACATGCAAAACCAAACTGCCAGCTTTTAGAGTTTAACGTAAATCCTAGGGGATTTAAGGCAGGCCTGCTCGCCCTAGAGCAGTGAATTTTAGGCCTGCTCGTGATTTTTCCCACTGCTCGTGTTCGGTCATGTTCGCGATTCTGCGACCGGCGAAGGGGCCCCACTCGGGCGACGAGCTTTTCTCCGGCCGAAGGTTTCAAACAAGTCACACCATGAGCTGAGAAGCGATCAGAATTGCAGGCGAGGCCGGGTCAGGGCGAGGACCTCGGCGGCAGGCTCAGAAACCCTTCCTTTGACACACCACCACCTCCGCTACGCGATGCTCAGCCGCCCGAACGGCGAGCTCACGAGGGCCGGTCAGTACTACTACCAACTGATCGGCCGGCCGCCCCGCAGCCGGCAGTACGACCGCAACCAGCTCCTGATCCGCGAGGGCCCGTCGGAATACATCTTGCTGCGGAGCGGCATGAAGAAGCTGGTCCGCAGCCTGCAGCCAGACGGGAAACACCACCTCACGAAGCTCGGGAAGGCCCACGTGCCGGTCGTCATCCGGGGCGTCCGGCGCGTGGGCCGGAACGCCAGCGCGGCCTACGGCCCTGAACGCCACGTTGTCCCGGCAGGGCGCCTCTAACAAGGTGTCTGTGGGGTTTGGGAGGGTGGAGGATGCAGTTTAAGGGAGTTGAAAGGCAGCTGAGGATTTAGGATGCAGTTCAAAGCCGTTGAGGGGCCTCTAAGGGGTTAGGGTCTAATTCAAGGCCGTTGAAGGGTTTAGGATGCAGTTCAAGGCCGTTGAAGGGCCTCCAAGGTGTTCATGTTTCGAGGGAGCGAGCGCGGGACAAGCACTGCCACAAAACTCATGCTAAAATCATGTGAAAACATGCACAAAACGAAGAGGTGACCACTTTGGGGTTTAAGGTTTTGGGCTTTAGGGTTGCGATTGAGCCATCAGCACCTGGGATTTAAAAAAACACACCCCAAATCCTGAAAATAACCCATATGATAGAGTCTGATAGAGCGTAACCTTTCGACAAACCTGGCATGCACGGCAGACTCAAACGCGACATCAAATTTTCCATGCTCCGATCTGCGACATCTTCTACTTCAGATTGGCCAGCAAGCGCTGCAGCTTCTTCCAAAACACTCTTGCCCGCGATGTTGGTTCCATAATTGAGTTCGAGTCTCTCCAGGGTCAATTCGAGGAGAACCTGGCGTGGTGCCCGAGAGACAACAAGAAACTCAGAGAGATCTATAACGTGCTTCGGTAGATCTGCAACAAGAGGACGATGACGCTCTTCATCTAGACGAATGCGCGATGAGCTTCCTCAGCCGTGCAGCTTGACTCATCGGAATCTGTAACATGACCAGAAGCAAGGTCTTGTTTCACACTCACAAACCACGGCTGCTTACCAAAGCCAGCTGAATCTGCAACATGACCATCTCCATCATTCTTGACAGCCGCCCGTGCGATCATCTTAAACTCTTCAGTCACTACATCTTGTGCAAAATCTACTAGCTCGGTGGCCAGCTTATGCAACAATTCATTCAAGGTAGATAAGCGCAGCTCTGACATGATCTTCTCTTCATCTGGACTGATGCATGTTCTCGCCAAAAAAGGATGAAGGAAAGGCTCTCTGCAGTGAACGGGTCGTTTTTGCTTGCCAGATATCCTTCGTGGGTGTTCAATGCGTTCTAAAACATCACGCGGTAGCTCACCTGGAATAGTGGTTGCCTCTGAAGGAGCCCTCACAGGAGCCCGCAGAGGCCCCAGATCCAAGCTGCTCTAGTGGTCCTCAATATCTTGAGCGGTTAATGCGTTGGCTGGTTCAGGCGTCTCATAGATCTCAGCTTTTTCCCACAAGTCTTTGCTGAGAAAGGCATCTAACAAGACTCCTTTGTTTCTTGTCATGCTGTAGACTGGCTTCGGCTAGTGTCTTTGCTATGCGTCGCTCTTCTCTGTTTTCATCTTCCGTCGTCTGCAGAAGAAAAGCCCAGTTCGACATGGCTGCTCCGTGTAAGATTTCAATTCAAGTGAACTGGACATGCACAACTCTACCAAGCACTCTGTACCGTTCGGCTTGAAAACGTCTTGAAAACAAAAGGTTATATATATATGTGTAAATATACGATTTGTGCAGAGGCTTGAGTAACACACTGGCTGCCATTGCCTGCTGATGCTGCTCATGCTTCGAGGGAGCGAGCGCGGGACAATTATGCCAAAATCATGTGAGAAAATGCGCAAAACGAAAGGTGACCATTTAGGGTTGAAGGCTTGGGGGTTCGGCGGACGTGTCTTTGGGCCAGTATGGCGGACCGTCTCCCAAGTATGCTGCTCGGAAGGGTGATCACGGGCAGTCTGCTTTCTGGTGCGTAGTTCTGGGCTCTTAAAAAGTGGGCTTGTCTTGCGAGTAGGTTTATTTGCTGCGAAATGTAGGAAGAAGCGCTCGCACGCGTGCGTGCGCGCGCGCTCCCGCTGTGTCCACCTCACAAAAGACCGTGCCTCGTTAACCTGCTGACACGAAGACTCCGATGATCCCAAGGCCAGAATGTCAAGTTCTTGCGCATATCCAGCCATGGAGCCAGCGTAGTGTAGAACCACTAGAAACCCGACAAACCCAGCCCTACCTGTTACGCAGGCAACAGATGCGTCGAAACCGGAGCTTCATCAAGTACGAGACACACCGGCGGTATCAGGATCAAGACTGCAGGATGAGTGGACCGCCTACTGATTCTGTCGCTAAAAGAGGCTTCGATGAGGTCAGCAGTGGCCTCGCATAAGTCTGTGCTGCGATGTGCCCCGTGGTCAACTCACAGCCTACACCTTACTCGCTCAGCTTGGTGGGAAGAACTTGAGCGAATCATTTCAGTATTCTGGTCTGAATTTTTCTATATATATATATATCAGCATCGTGAAGTATAAGTGACGCGTCTGGACCCGGGGGGTGAAACTCCTAGTGTCTTTCGCTACGAAATCGATGAACGGTTCAAACCGTTTTAGGTCGAAGAAGCAATGAGCCTCTAGGGTTCGAACCCTGCAGACTGGCCACAGAGAACCCCAGACTTCCGCTTTTCAAAACTGGCCCGGGCCCCAACCTCCCTTGGGCAAAGATACCTAAATACGAAGTTGTCGCTGCTTGAGCCACCCCAGCCACAAAACAAAACATAAGATCAGTCATTGTTCTCAATCTAGAAAAGTCAAACGTTGTAGCCGCAAAAAGCATCTAGGGGAGGGAAAGGTCCAAATCCAAACTAGTTTGTTCTGGGCCTTGAAGTCATTTTTTTGCTGCGTAGCTGCGGAACCGCTCTCGGGCTGAACGCGTGACACGCTTTGTTTTGGCACCCCAGGCATCATCCACTGTACGTACCACAGGCAACAGAAAACTGACCTACAGGAACAGACTGCTACTGCTCTGGCAACAGTCAGGCAGGTCTCTCTCACGGTCTGCCACCATCTCACAGCCCCAACATGCGTTAGCAACCAGGTGCAGCGCACGTAGGTCTGCAAATGCGTTAGCAACCTGGCAGAGCCTGGCTGCAGCGCATGAGCGACAGGTGGGCGCTTCCGGCAGTGAACTTGCCTGGCTTTCCCCCCTGCATCGCAGGCCCAACCGCAAATGCGTTAGCAGCATGCTGCAGCGCACAGCGGAGGCGACCGCGGGGTGTTGTTGCTTCGCAGGCAGCCTTCCAAGCACTTCTGCTTCGCAGCTGAAACTTACCCAGGTTGCGTCAGCATCGCACGCAGCGCACCCGAGCAATTCTGCTGGGCAGCAAAAGTCACGGGTGCGAAAGGAAGCCCAATTGGGAACCCTGGTCCTCGC